TAGATAGATAGATAGATAGATAGATAGATAGATAGATAGATAGATAGATAGATTCAATTTGTATAGCTGCCCATCTCAAACCAATGACTCTGGGTGGCGAACAACCATAAAAACAATTAAACAATTAAAACACAATACAATTAAATACAAATAGCAGCCAAGAGATATTATAATATGTTGGTGTCAACATAACCAGGAAACAGGGCCCTTCACACACTTGAGACCCTGTGCCCAGGCACAAAGCCAGGTGTTCAAGGCCTTCTGAAAGGCCAGCAGGGTCAGAGCTATCCTAATCTCAGGAGGGAGGATGTTCCAGAGGGCAGACGCTACAGCAGAAAAGGCACATCTCCTAATCCCTGCCAGCTGACATTCCTTGGCTGATGGGACCTGGAGCATGCCCACCTTGCTGGACCGAATTGGACAGGTAGAAACAACTGGGAGAAGACAGTCCCTCAGGTAACCCAGTCTCAAGCCATGAAGGGCTTTAAAGGTGACAACCAGCACCTTGAATTGAACCAAAAAAACACATTGGCAACAAAGGCTGCCCCTGAAGCAGTGGTGTTACATGTGCTGAACAGCCAACAGGGTTTACAACCCAGGCAGTGGCATTCAGTACTAGCTGAAGCTTCCGAATGCTCTTCAAGGGCAGCCCCATGTAGAGCACATTGAAGTAGTCCAGACTGGAGGTCATGAGTGACCATGAGCAGAGCCTCCTGATCCAGGAATGAGTGCAATTGGCACACAACCTGAAGGTGTGCAAAGGCCCTCTTAGCCATGGCTACCACCTGCTCTTCCAGCAGGAGCTGTGAGTCTAAGAGGATCCCCAGATTGCACACTAGGTCCATCTGAGGCACTGCCTCCAATCCAGGACAAGAGGTGGAAAAACCTTAGTACTGGAAGGCCTGAGTACCCAAAGTCACTCAGTCTTGCTTGGGTTCAGCCAAAGCCCATTTGTGCCCCATCCAGGCCCCACAGCCTCCAGGCACTGAGACAGGACATCCACAGCATCACTCAGGCAGTCCAGGGTGGAGATATATAATTTCTATTAAGGATTTTAACAATAATAAAAGATAATACAAACTGAAATGAGAGAGAGAGAAAAAATAGGAAAAAAGGAAATAAAAACTGCAAAGGAAAAAGGAAAAGAGAGGGAAAAGAAAAAAAGAAGAAAAAGCAATATTTAAAGAAGTGACTTCCAATCTTCATCACAAATACAAATTTAATATTTCTCCACCTCCTAAAAAGTTACATACATGGATCACTTCTTCCCATAACCCATTCACAAATTCATGAAACATTAATGTTTCTATCTGGATGATGGCAAAAAGTCTGTAAAGGGTTCCCAAAATTTTATAAAAGTACGTCTTATTTTAAACCTGATCAACAAATTGACTTCGTATTCCTTCCTTATGCTTCTAACAATCTTAATCCTTAATTCATTCAGATGCTGTTGTAGGATTTGATCTCCCTTCAATTTTTCTTTCTCCCATCTCAAAGGTTTCTTCAAGTTTTTAACAACCCTCATTTGTAAATCTAGTAAAAAGTCAATATCCAGGTCATTCTCTTGGCTTATCATTTGTATTTCCATTTTGACTGTCATCTCTGTTTTATAATCCAGAATTTATTTATTTTCAGTATTTCTGCATCAGGTAATATTTGTTTATCCCCTTCATCCTGTTGGTCTTCCAAAATATTCTCTTTCACATCTTTCATTTCTTCTTTAAAATCTTTTGTAAATAATACATCGATATAAGTAAACATTGTTGCTGACATTGTAGCTACTAGTTTCAAAAATCCCCTGAAATGTCTCAAATGTCATGGCATTGTCTGTCATTTTGTAGGTTCCACGAAAGATGGGCTTTTCTCTCTTTTCCCCTCCCCTTCCTTCTTTCTCCTGCTTGAAGTCTTTAGTCTCCTCTAGTGCTTCATTTCTAAAATTGCAAAATTTCAAATATCTATTGTTTATTTTCTAATAGACTAAACAATTTAAGTTTCCATGAAGGTATTGTTTTATTTAATTATTTCCCAAATCTTTTAGCAAAAGTCCTAATATTCCAAAGTTGTCTAGTCCCTTAATTCATTTGTAACTTTCTTAGATTGAGTCCTTATTAAGCTTTTTGCTGTTTACTTCAATTTCTTTAAATTATTTAGGCTGTTGTCTTTTGTACAGGAACAAAGGTTAATTCACCCATTCAACGGGTTTTTCAAACTCGTTGCTTTGAAGATCTCTTTCAAGTTTAAAGTAATTACATTTCAAAGGTGTTTAGAAAGTGAGGCTTAACAAACCTAGTGTCCCTAAAAGGCTCCACTGTGGTTGAAAACTTGATAGCTTCCCTCATCTGGCACTCAATGGGAAACAGCTATCCTGTCTCATGAGGAACTGCTGTCTGGAGCACAAGTGGCCAATCTCTCACCCTCTCCTTTATCTGGAGAGGTTCTGTTGTCTGTCGGTCCTGGCCTCAGCATTATCTCCACTCCTTGTCCTAGACAGAGATGTCTAGTTCACCATTTCCTCACTTAGAAGTCATGCTTTAGACTATCAAAGCCATTTCTTGTTACTTAAGACATCTCCCACAGCTGGATAGAGAAAACTTTTCATGGAACTCTGAAAAACCGATTATCCCTACAGCAATTCAATTGGTCCCCAAAGCATGGCCAATTAGGGTACAGCTTTCTTGTAACTTCAAAAAACAAAACAAAACACCTTCATACAGTTGAAATGTTGCATTTTTCTTTTTTGTTTTAGCTCTATATATGTAAATGTAATTTTTGTACATAAGACAGTCTGACCTTATGTATTCTAACTGTGAAGCCCTTGAGGTAGATCAGCTCAACTTTAATATGGAATTCAAAGAGTCAAGATGGAACGGGTTGAGTGTTATTAATACTGGTCATACTGAATATAAATGATCTATTTTTGTCTTGCAAGAACTAAGTTCCCTACATAGCCTCCTGCCACTTTCTACAATCAACTCCAATCTGTGGTTATAGAGGGTAAATGCTTGCCATTGGGAGTTTCTTCTGCAGAGACACAAACACCAGGAGATTTAGAATATGGAAAATCATGGTACTAAATCTTGGGGGTGATTTTATGTATCCTTGCATTATTGTTTTACAGTTGTACAATTGACTGGAAATTATTTGATATGAAATTGCATACTGTTGCTGCAGGGATTACATTATATTACTGCAGCATTTCCTAATTGATGGTCCGTGAAGCAGCAATGGCCTGTGAGGGTTTTGTAGGTAGTTTGAGGAGAAAATAATAAAATATAACTACTCTGTCTACTACTTACGTATTATATTAAGGATTATACTATTCATAATGTAACTTGTTTCACACTGTTGTGTAAATATCTTTTATTATCTGGATGTACACAGTGGCATATTTGCACGATAGCAATTCGAACTCACATCCTTTGCAGACTTGGTGGTCTGCATGGGAGACCATGTTTGTACCTCCCCATTGGAAACAAAGTATAATATACCTAATCTTCAAAAAAGGGCAATAGGCCAATTATTGTCCTATTAGTTTGCTAAATATCTCTTCTAAGTTGTATGCCAAACATCTTCTGAATAAATTAGAAGATTGGGAGGAAGAAACACAATTCTTCCATCCAAAACAGGTAGAGTTTCAAAAAGGACAATACATAGTAGATCACCGTGTCACTTTGAACACTCTTATTCAAAAATACAAGAATGGACATTCAAAACAACTCTATGTCATATTTATAAATCTTATCTCTGCCTTTAATTGACAGGTCTCAACTATGGGAGGAACTAGCAAGGACAGACATCAATAGGTGCCTTCTCAAATTAATAATTGAATTACATACTGTCATTACAGCTAGAGTAAGAATGGGCCCACAAGGGTCCTTGTCAGACCCTATTTAATTGGAGCAAGGAGTCAAACAAGGCTGTTTACTTGCTCCTTTCTCATTTAACTTTTCTATTATGACATTGTAGTGGCCATGAAGTCACAAAGTCCTCCCCCCCCCAACTTAATGGACAAAATTTCAGTGTTAATGTATGCCCACAACATTGCTCTTATTGCCTGTATCAAGACTGACCTTAGAAGATAATGGGTCAGACTAGGTGATTATTGTGAAAAAGTGAGGATAAATTATAGTAAAACAAACTAGTGGTCTTTGGCAGAAGTAATACTAAATACAGATGGACAATTAATGCCCAACAAATACAGTAATGCCCTTCCTTTAAAGACCTAGGCAACACTTTTTATAAGTCCCTTATATGGAAAACACATTTATCTACTCTCTTAGCAATTGCCCAGCGTAAACTGGGCACTATTCTGAAGTTTTTCTATTCCAAATGAGGGCAGCTAGTAGCCCCTGCACTTTGAATATTCCAGGGCAAGGTGATTGCCCAGATGCTGTTTGGGGCTGAGATCTGGTTGTGGGATGAGAAAGTTATTGCCCAATTGGAAGTAGTCCAAAACAACTTCATAAGGAAGATTTGGACTTCCTCCAGGGCACCCCCACATTTAAGGACTTCCATCACTATTAGAATAGATGTTGCATGCCAATAAAGATGCCACTACAGTACAGTCACCCAAATTTTAATCTTG